ATGAGCCATCGGTGCCCAGCTCCATGCATGTTCTTTGAATAAAAAATATGTCTTACGTCTTGAAGGAAAATAGGAAAAGTCACGTGGCACATGACATGGTGCTTATAAATTCAGGAGTCATAAGTCCACGTGAAGCAGCACCTGGCTGGACCTGGAGGCTGGGCGAGGATGACAGGGAGGGACAGGATGCAGCTGGTGAGGACAGAGCTGCCTGTTCTAGAAAGAGCCAGTTCCTACCACACGTGCTTGTCACAGCCATTATCAGTCATTGCCTGGCTCACTGGGCAGAGCTGTGCATGGCCAAGTTCTGCATGCCCAAGCAATGGCCCAGAGGAAATGGGTCTTCATGTCATGGTGGCAGATGATGACCTAACACTCGAAACAGATGGCAGAGCCAGCCAATCAGGTCCTGGCCACACTTGAACTCCCACATCAAATCCTGCTGCCCATCAGCCAACTGCCAGAGAGGTAGTCAAAGAGGCACCTAGCCCAGAAATGCTTCCCATCCCCCAACAACCTGTGCAGTGAGGTTCTGTTCTAGGAGCCCTGGGGAGGTGGCCAGCCATTGTTCATGACTTCTTTTCCTCATTCAAAGGTCAGCGCCACAGGAGCAAAGCCGGGTGGGACTCTAACTTTTATTCTTTCCCCTATTTCCGGTGCCTGACCCTTGGAAGGCACCTAACACATATTTGCAGAATGGCTGAATGAGATAAGACACCATAATGACGTTCAATTGTTTCCTTGATATTGTGGTTTTAAAGTGGCAGATGGATGGGCAAACAGGAGGATTTTCTGGATCATATTAGCTAGTGTCAATAACCTTCGGAGCCTTGTTCTAATTCATTAAGTTGTTGCACACCCAAACTGATTTACAAAACTCCATGTAACCAAGAAACCAAGATCACAATTATCCTCAAATATGTATCCTCAAATATGCTTCTCCTTAAACAAGCAACTTTTCCGCAGCATCATTTCTTAGGCAAGATGGATAACTATGTGTTTGGCTTCTTTTTTCTTTTTCTTTTTTTAGTGCTGGTCCTGGGGCTTTGTACTCAGGGCATGGGGTAATTAATGTCCTTGAGTGCACAGACTAGTGTCCTACCATGGCACCATTTCTGCTTTTGGGGGGGGGTGGGTATTTGAAGATAATAGTCTCATGGACTTTCCTGCTCAGGCTGGCTTTGAACTATGGATCCTCAGATCTCAGCCTCCTGAGTAGCTAGGATTATAGATGTCCGTCACCAATGCTGAGTTTTGGTTTCTTTTTTTTTCTTTTTGCCAGTTGTGGGGCTTGAACTCAGGGTCTAGGCACTGTCCCTGAGCTTCTTTTGTTCAAGGCTAGCACTCCATCACTTGAGCCACAGCGACATTTCCGGCTTTTTCTGTGTATGTGGTACCGAGGAATCGAACCCAGGGCTTCACACATGCTAGGCAAGCACTCTACCACCAAGCCACATTCCCAGCCTGGTTTCTTTTCTTTCTTTTTTTTTTTTTTAAATATGGTCTTTGCTTCTAAAGACTGCCGATTGTAAAACAGGAAGCAGGGGCTAGAGAAGTAGCACATTTGCCTAATATGTACACAGCCCTGGGTTTGATACCTGGCACCACAAAAGAAGGGCACACAGGACAAGATGATTTGTAAGGACAAGTTGATTAAAAGATGACAGTACTGACTTGGTTAATAGTGAACGCCTCTGCAGGGTGTGGTGGCACACAATTGTAATTCTAGCTACTGGGAAGGTGAAGAATCAGGATTGTGATCCGAAGCCAGCTCAGGCTGTTATCCAGATCTCATCTCAACTAAAGCCCCATGGGAGGTATACATAGGATTTCAGGCTGGGAAGGTGGATCAGTGGTAGAGTGCTTGCCTTGCTTGGAGGCCTGGGGTTTGATTCTTCAGCACCACATAAGCAGAAAAAGTCGGAAGTGGTGCTGTGGCTCAAGTGGTAGAGTGCTAGCCTTGAGCTGAAGAGCTCAGGGACAGCGTCCAGGCCCAGAGTTCAAGCCCCATGACTGACCAAAAAAAAGAGGATTTCAGTCCAGGCCACCTGAGCAAAATCATAAGCTCCTACCTGAAAAATAACTTGAAGCAAAAAGGGTATGCCTCAAGCGGCAGATCACTTGTGTGGCAGCATGAGGCTCAGTTCAAACCTCAGAACCAACAGAAAAAGAGTGGGTGGGTACCAGTAGCTCATTCCTGTAATCCTAGCACAAGAGGCTGAGATCTGAGTTCAAAGTCAGCCCAGGCAGAAAAGACCATGGGAATCTTTTTATTTTTTATTGGTCATGGGGCTTTAACTCTGGGCCTGGGCTCTGTCCCTGAGCTCTTCAGCTCAAGGCTAGTGCTCTACCACTTGAGCCACAGCACCACTTCTGGTTTTCTAGTGGTTTATTGGAGATAAGTCTCACACTTTCCTGCCCAGGCTGGCTTTGAACTGCGATCCTCAGATCCTAGCCTCTCTGAGTAGCTAGGATTACAGGTGTGAATCACTGGCACCTGGCTGTCCATGGGAATATCTCTACCAGCAAAATCCAGAAGTGGAGGTGTGACTCAAGCAGTAGAGCACCAGCCTTCAGTGAAAAAGCTAAGGGACAGGACGCATGCCTTGAGTTCAATCCCCACTACTGGCACAAAAAAAAAAAAAAGAATAAAAAAGGGAGGAGGTTAGGAGGATATATGCTCTGGCTTGCTACGTTAATCGCTCCTCCTTCACAATGTACTTCACACATATCATTGTGCAGATAGCCTTGTATCAGTCAGGTCCTTACTGATAGGCAAGCACCACCAGTGTCTTGCTATTACAAAGAAAATGGCATGAAATACTCCTGAACATAATGCTAGGCTCAAAGGGTATGTCTATTATTACCTGTCTGAATTATAAATAAAAGGGGGCCCTCATTATTTGCATCTTCACCGAGTCCTTCCAACTATGGATCATAGAAAGAAAGTGATTACCATGTGGGAGCACTCATTAATGACCTGACTTCTGGACTAGCCTTTGCTATATAAGTGAACCTGAAGAGTCTACCTGCCTAAATCTTAGTCTGCTGCTCTCTAGGGTACTATCGTAAACATGTGACAAATGATTAAAAAAATGCAGACTAATTGCAATAACCAAAAGTCTTGAGAATGATGGCAGATTTGATGCGGTTCATTGTAGAACAGATTTGATGCTAGAAAACTCAACTATCACCTGCTGACAGATGGATGTCAGTTTCAGAACAGTGATGAGGTGGGTGTTGATGGGTACTTCTAAACAAGAGTATGGTAGGATATTAAATGTTTTTTTTTTGTTTGTTTTTTTGCTTATGTGGTGCTGAGGAATCGAACCTAGAGACTCATGTATACAAGGCAAGCGCTCTACCACTGAGCCACCTTCCCAGCCCCATGTTTTATGAAAAAATATTTCATCTGGCTGGGAAGGTGGTTCAGTGGTAGAGTGTTTGCCTAGCATGCAAGAGGCCCTGGGTTCAATTCCTCAGCACCACATAAGCAGAAAAAGTGGGAAGTGGTGCTGTGGCTAGCTTGAGCTGAAGAGCTGAGGAACAGCGACCAGGCCTAGAGGTCATGCCCCACAACCAACAACAACAAAAAAATCTAAAAATTGAACGCTTGAATCATTCTATGCTCATGAGAAGAGTATCTATTTGTGCTAGGTGGGTGTGGTGGTACATGCCTATATATCCCAAGAGGTATAGACAAGATTGTGAGCTCAAGGCCAGCTGGGCAGTTAGTGAGACTGTCTCCAAACCAAAAACATACTGGGGAAATGGGTCAAGTGGTAGAGTGCCTGTCTTTCAAGTGTGAGGAACTGGATTCAGTCCTCAGTATCTAATAATTACAAGGAAGCTTGTATAATTTTGTTGCACCTTTGTGCTAACAGTCCCAGTGAGATTTCCTCCCTCCCATACTGTGTGGGTTTGTGTATGTGCATACCAGTATTGACCCTTGAACTCAAGGCCTAGATACTTGCTGCCCCTTAGGCTTTTTTTTTTGTTTGTTTTAGGCAGGCACTGTACCACTTGAGCCACAGCTTCACTCCTGGCTTTTTGATATTTAACTGGAGGTGAGCCTCACAGACTTTCCTGCCTAGGCTGGCTTCAAACCACAATCCTCAGATCATAGCCTCCTGAGGAGCTAGAATTACAGGTATAAGTCTCTGGTGCCCAGTTTATGACGCTTTGGTCTGGAGTTTTAAGTGTTTTTATTCACTTAGTATGACTTTTGTGGTGCCAACTCTCCTTGGGCTCAACAGGCCTACCCTCCTCTTCAGGAGGAAGAGGAAGACCTCAGCCAGGTCTAGTGTATGAGGGCAAGATTGTCCCCACAGTCGTGTGACCTCCACAGCAGCACCTGTACCCCATGTGAGGACCAAGACCTTTTAGCCCAGGAATGAAGCCTGAGCTTTCTTTGCCTCCACTCACTGCCACTGTCCCTAGTGCCATCCAGGGGCTAGCAGACACATGACAAAACAGTTTGTTCTCCATATTCTCCTGAGCCACCCAGGGCTACCCATCAGGTGTCACTCCCAGGACATTAAGCTAGGACATACAGCAGCAAATGACCTGAGCACCCAGCTGTGTGGGGCTCTTTAGCCCTGTGGGAAAAACTCACTAGTTTTGAATGGTATTTTTTTTTTGTTTTGTGTGGGTTTTGTTTTGTTTTTGTATTTTTTGCCAGTCCTGGGGCTTGAACTCAGGGCCTGAGCACTGTCCTTGGGCTTCTTTTTGCTCAAGGGTAGCACTCTATCCCTTGAACCACAGCACCACTTCTGACTTTTTCTGTTTACGTAGTGCTAAGGAATCTAACCCAGGGCTTCGTGCATGCTAGGCAAGCACTCTTGCTAAGCCACATTCCCAACCCCATGAATGATATTTTCAAGTGCCATTAGGATAGAGCTACTGTTAAATAGTTTGCATGCTGTAGGCTCTGCTCTCTGTCCTGACTGCTCAACTGTCAACCACAGCACAAAACCAGCCACAGACAATATGGAAACAAGTTATAGTCCAATAAAACTTTATTGGTGGACATCAAGATTTGAATTTGACATGATTTTTCACATGCTACAAAAATATTTTCTTCTGTTGATAATTCTCAACCTTTGAAAAAATGGAAAACCATTCTTAGCAGGTTCTGCACAAAACTAAGCAGTGGGGGGAGGGGTTTGGCCAGCAGGGGCAGTTGAGCCCCACCGGGTCACATGGATACACTGCAGTAATACAAACCCTGCTTCTAACACCTTGTTTATTTTTTTCACTTTTCAGACCCAGATTCTCTTCATTATAAATACATGAGTAAATGTTTTCTAAATGTTCAGAGTTAAGATCTGTAAGAATCTCATGCCAGGCCACAGTTGAAAGAATATTGATACAATGCCATGTTGTGCATTAAATCAAAACAATCAAGAGAAACACATAATAAATTTGAGAAATTCACTGAATTTGAAAAATAGGCTTTATTTTTAACCAGTGGTATTGTCTGATATCCTATATGGCATACCTGATTACAGCCAAGTTCATGAATACAAATAAAATACCAGTTTCCTCTTCTCCCTTGTCAGAATTCTGTTGAGAGAAACTGGGAGGATTATGCTCAAAATCCACAGAACTTTCCCAGCTTCAAGTTCAGGTTCTCCAAGCACAAAGCCTCCTAACACATATGTGGTCACATGTGCAAAGACCTTATATATGTATACATATATGTACATACACATATACACACAGATGTATATATATATGTATATACACACAATATTCAGAGCAGTATTTCTGTATGAAATCACACTAGCATTTACAACCAAACATCCTGATGAAATTCATCTTGCTATTGATGGTGAGGATTTCAAATGTGAGTGAGGCTCTTCTGCTCACTTTCCTGTAAGCACACAGAATCCCAGGTGAGGCAAATAACCCGAGACTCCACTGGGGCCTGCTGCCTTCCTTCTGTCTCCAGTGGATTCCGGGGCCCCACCTTGCCTTCTGGAGGCTGCACATCACCTCACTAAAATCGAGTCTGGAGACAAGCTTGGCTTAATACAAGATTTGCCAATACTGAAATTGGCTTTACACTTCCTTAGTACACAAGAGGCTTAAATAAGATGGGTCCTCATACAGCACAGAATGCTTGAAATTCAGAAAATTACAACAGCAACACTTCTCTACCCCTGAGGATATTTCATCTATAAAGGCGAAAATATAAAATATTAAAATAATCTGCCCTTTCTCCCCATCAAAAGGAATCACATTCTCAAAGGATTCCTGCAATGTACAAAATTCTAAAACAAATTGTATTACTCCCTAAACCAAGACCATAAAATCAATCAACGTTAAGCTGCCAAGAAGACCTTTTTTCATGGAGGGGTAGAAAAGACACCTTGTTGACCAGTTTTCCTTCCTTCCTTTCTTCTTTTTTTTTTTTTTTAAATAATCATATTTAGAGAAAGATAGCAAAAGGAGTTTCTGGGCTCGTGAGCTCTGTATTTTTCACTTTGATTTTAAATAGTTCTTAGCATTGATAATTGGCAGAGAAGGGAACGATTTGTTTTCCAAAGTATGGGATGTTCCTGGGGAAAGACAGGGCTTTCCCAACATAGCTCTTTGAAAACAATTCGTTGAAAATCAGATGGCAAGAATAAAAATGCTATCCATCCACCTGTTCCATCTTTTCCGGGTTTTCCCAGCAAGAGCACCTGGAGTAGCAACTGTATTCAACGCCGAAAAGCGCTGGGGGCTGCAGAGGATGAAGTCACTTGCCCACAGCATCAGCTGGGGAGATACAAGATCAGAACCACCCAGGAGGTCTTCACAGGCAGACTCGCCTGGCCCAGGGCCTTCAGAGGAGAACAGCACGAGCAGCGGCACATGCTCAAAGGTGTGCAAACATATCCTCACTTGGCTAGGAAGAAGGAGCATACAGGAAGCACACAGACAGCAGCAGAAACCTGTGCCTGACTACTGGGGTCAATTCTCAGGGGAGCTGTCTTGCAGGTGACAAGCAAGCAACACCCTCTGGCTTGGAGGGAGAGGAAATGCACATATACGCATGCGCACACATGCACACTTGGTTTCTTCTGGCTCATAGTGGCCACCCCACAGCTCTTGTCTTACTTGCTTGGTTCAGAACTTCAGCAGCTGAAGTCTTTCAATTATCTACACATCCTTCTCTCCTTTTTAAGGCACAAACATATTTATAGTTTCAAACACAATGTGTCAAGTTCTGAGACTCCTACTAAGCAAGTTAATCACAGGCTGGCACACAGAAGGCAGATGGTCCTTTCCGGCTGCGGCATCACTGAGGGCAGGCCTTGGACCTGAAGCAGTGAGGTGAGTTCCTCCTCCATGTGCTGCTGTGGCATGTGGTCAAGTTCACAGGGTGAACTTGACCATGGTGGGGCCACAGGAGAAGCCAAAGAGGCAAAAGCGTGACTAGGTCCAGGGACATGTAGTATTTTTCACCTTGTATTTTCCATATCCTAACAAGATAGTGGCTCTTGTCTGCCTCAGCCAGCTTTCAGAAAGAGTAGGCAGAGTCTATGGCCATACCACTTGAATGCATCCGATCTCATCTGAGCTGGGAAGCCAAGCAGGACTGAGCCTGGTTAGTACTCAGATGGGGAAAAGAGCAGGCAGGACAGACACAGACATCACAACTTCACATAATGTCACTGTGATCAGAGTTAGCTCACATTATGCTCTTCACCTTCCACAAAGACAAATGCATACACCCCCATCCACACTCACACACACACACACACACACCATGCACACACGCACCCCATCCACGTTGGAGGAAATCTTTCAACAAGAGGCACTTGAATAATATTTGGAGAGTTCCCATGAAAAGGCCTTCCCCTCACAGTGAAGTGGGAGCAACAGAACAGAAACCAGGTCCTCAGGACTCCATCTCTTCTTGGTCAAGGGGTGGTGGCACAAAGCTGACAACTTCATCATACGTCAGGCCTGGAAGTTGGGAAGGAAGAGTGAGCATCTTTGCTGGTAGGCATTCTGACTTCTAAGTTCAAGATCCTTCCTCTCATTCGGGTGAGTGGTTTGAGGACTACTTCCAAGTAACTGGCTTTATTGTCTGTGTGTGAGATCCTAGTATGACATATGACTCAAACAAGTCCAAGTGCAGAGAGCCATTGCTTCTCTTTTCTTTCATCACTGACTGCCTTCTCTTTAAAGCTCTGGAGAAGCTGCTCAAGAATAAAGAAGCTGGGCATGGTGGCTCAAGCCTGAAGAAGCTGGGCATGGTGGCTCAAGCCTGAAATCCTGGCTAGGCAGAGATGTGGATGGTTCAAGGCCAAACTGGGTAAACGGTTAGTGAGACTCCATTTCAATCAATGACTGGGTGTGGTGCTATGTACTTGTCCTCCCCAGTGACACAGGAAAGCACAAATAGGAGGATTGCAGCTCAGGCTGGTAGGGACATGAAGAGAGACCCTACTCCAAAAATAGCAAATATAGCCAGGCACTGGTTATCATAGCTACTCAGGAGGCTGAGATCTGAAGATCATGGTTCGAAGAGAGCCTGGGCAGAAAAGTCCATGAGACTCTTATCTCCAATAAATTACCAAAATGTCAGAAGTGGAGCTGTGGTTCAAGTGGTAGAGCACTAGCTCTGGGCACAAGCTTGAGAATTCAAGACCCAGGACCGGCAAAAAAATCAACAACAATGTATAACCACATTGTGAGGCCCTGAGTTTCCCCCAGTAAAAGAGTAGAGTAGGGGCTGGGAAGGTGGCTCAGTGGTAGAGTGCTTGCCTTGCATGCATGAGGCCCTGGGTTCGACTCCTCAGCACCACATAAGCAGAAAAAGCCAGAAGTGGCGCTGTGGCTCAAGTGGTAGAGTGTTAGCCTTGAGCTGAAGAGCTGAGGGACAGCGCCCAGGCCCAGAGCTCAGGCCCCATGACTGGCAAAAAAAAAAAAAGAGTAGAGTAGTCACAACTGCAGCAAAGATAGTCTTGGCTTTTATGATTTAACTAGAGTTCTGAACTTGTGATTTATAGAAAAAATGAGAATAAGGAATGGAAATTCGGGGTTCTATGCCTGTTTCTCTAAATAGGTTTTAGATAACAGATAAGATACAAATCCTTCTTGTCTCAAAACCCTATTAATTATACAATTATAATGCCTTACTACTCCCCACTCACCTTAGATTTTTATAAATGAAGAGCCTCTTAAGAACCTCAAGGCTCTATACATTTGTGAGGAGCGCTATACTGTCCGACTAAACGAAGCAGCTCAGAGGCCAGATGCTGCATCTAGAGTGGACTCCATCAGTAGGGCATGGTCATTCTGCATTAGCCCTCAACTCTTAAGTGTTACTCAGTTGAATGGAGTCATTCAGCTCTTGTTTTTCCTGAAGCCTTTGGTGAGTGATTTACCCAGAAAAGATTTTACAGTATAAATTCTCAAGGTGCATGTGAATCATGCCCTCAGGACTTACTTTTCCATTCATCTATAAGGAGGTCCCTGCTTTCAAATGACTGGTCGTAGGGATCGGCTACCGGCTCATCATCTGGATCATGGTACTGCGCAAAGTAGGCATGTGCCAGGGCTTGGGCTGCTGTAATCCGCTTATCCGAGTCCAACACGAGCATCTTCTCCAGCAAATCGACAGCTATCAGTCAGTGCCAGAGACAGAAAGGAAAAATGAAGAGTATTAACATGCTAGGAAAAAAAAAACAAAAAACTCCTGGTAACTTCGGAGGATAAATACTGCCATGATCACATGGCGCATACCACATAACTGTGGCACAACAGAGGCATTTGCAACTTTGCAAATTACCTTCCAGATGTACTTAAGAGGAGGGGAGTTCACTGAAGAGGTCAAGTTCCTAAGTTTCATCTTGAAAGTACCATGGGCACTGCCAGTCACACAGTTTTCTGATGTTTGCGCTCCTTAGAATAAAAAAATCTTTGTGGCTGCTGCTTTTCAACTGAATGTAGATTCTATGATGGGGTTTTGCCACGATGAGAGAAAAAAGTATCATTTCCTATACTTTGATGAAGAGTAAGGCCAGAGGTAAGAAAAAGATGTCTCAAAGATTTTGACAACTGTAAACACATACACTAACATCCAAGGGGCAATCTGAATTTTCATTAGTGTTATGGTCAGTGGCTGACCAAACAGAGCTGCTAACACTTCGAAGGCTGGTGCATCTATGCTCAGTCGACATGCAGGGTACTTGCTCCCGATGAGTGGTGACATACTGTCTGCAGCAAGAGGGACTTTATGACACTGCTGCTGGCAACGGGCCATCAGGCATGCCTGAACTCAGAGGAGTACCATGCTGAGTGAGCACCAGATGCTCCTTTTGAGGCACTTGATGACAGTCTCAATTGCTAAGTGATGTCAGGTTCTTTTCAATGCTGAAGTGTCACAGTGCCAGAAGATGGGGACATCTGTCAGGATGTGTGTGACCTAAATAAGCTGTTCTTCCAGAAAAAGGATGTTCCTCTTTCAAAAAACAGAATTATCTTTTTGAGTGTGTTAACAAAGGAGTTAAAAGGTGAGTTATGTTTTATTTGAACCATGGGGGCTGGCAAAATGATAAAAGACACAACGAAGACAAAACTTCCAGCATGCTGTGCACTCATGGCTCCTGGGGCAGGGAAATCTGTGGGACTCTCATCTCCAGTTAACCATCAGAAAACCCAAAGTAGCACTGTGGCTCAGTGGTAGGACACTATAGCCTTGAGCAAAAGAGCTCATGACTGACAAAACAAAAAACAAACAAAAAAAAGAGGGTGGGGTGGGGGGCTTTCTAGCACATAATTCTTGCCAACATCTTTGAGTACTTGTAGCTCCACAAGAGCTTCTACAGATCCTTGAAGGGAACAGGACAGCTCAAGTGAGAGCATGCTAGAGCAGATGTAAACCTTAACCAAGAACCGTAGAATCCTACATACCCAGAGAGAGTGTGAATTCATCCCTGGACAGCAGAGCAACAGTGGAGATCTGACACTCTGCATCTCCAAAGCTGGCGCAAATTCATCCAGAAGAGCCATGTGCTTCCAAGCACGAGCATCTCTGCTATTTTAAGAATTATCACAGCCATACTGAAACCCCTCTTCACAACTTCTGTGGTGAAGTTCTTAAAACAGGTTACACAAGCCGGCCTTTATCCTATTTTTTTTTTTTTTTGTGCCAGTCATGGGGCTTGAACTCAGGGCCTGGGCACTGTTCCTGAGCTTCTTTTGCTCAAGACCAGCACTCTAGCCACAGCACCACTTCTGGCTTTTTTTGTATGTGGTACTGAGGAATTGAACCCAGGGCTTCATGCATGCTAGGCAAGCGCTCTTCCACTAAGCCACATTCCCACTCCTATCCCAATTTCTTAGGAGGTCATCATGATCATCAACCCTTAAAAGGAAAACACCAAGCCTGAAGCAGAGCTTCAACAGAGCGATGCCCCACACAGACACGAGGAAACGCAGTGAGATGACCAAACACAATCCTATTATATAATGTTAAGAAAAGGCAGCTGGTGACACTAGTTGTCATGACAATGATGCTTTCCTGAGAAGTACTGGTCTGGTCTGTGTTTGCCTGTAAATAAGTAGCACTGTCCACTATACTCTCCTTGTTTAGAGAACCTGAGCCTCAGGCAAAGCTACCTTCTGGGGCCATTTCAAGCCCACACCAGCCCCGCAGCTTTAAGGAATAGAGCAATTCCTGAGAAGCTGTTAGGATCTGGAGGTGATGGAGGAGGAAGGAATATGGAATCAATCTAAAGTATAGGAAAGCAAGTCAGCTTTGCAAAGCAGAATAGATGGGTAAGCCTCTAAGGAACAGAGGAAAGGGAAGAACCTGAGTGCACCAGGTAGCTCCCTGCACATGTGAGGAGCACAGCGCCTGCAGGTGATGCCATGTGCATCCACTGAACACCCATCCTTGCTTCAACTATTTCCCCCTCCGTGTGGGACAATATAAATTAACAGCAGTTGTGAACAATCCACAGGCTGTCATCTGTACCCACCTTCCTGCTGCCTCAGTCTTCGCTCTTAATTTTTCAAGACCTTTCTTTTCTTTTTTGTTGGTTGTGGGGCCTGAACTCTGGGCCTGGGCGCTGTCCCTGAGCTCTTCAGCTCAAGGCTAGTGCTCTACCACTAGCCAGGGGCGTGAGCCACTGGTGCCTGGTTTCCTTTCCTTTCTTTACTGTACCACTTATTTCTCAAACTAAATCTGTTGGTTATAGACATACTTCCCCCCCTTTTTTTCTTTTTGGGGTACGGTTGTGGGGCCTGAACTCTGGGCCTGAGCACTGTCCCTGAGTTTCTTTTGCTCAAGGCTAACTACCACTTGAGCCACAGCGCCACTTCCGGCTTTTTTTCCCCTGCTTATGTGGTGCTGAGGAATCGAACCCAGGACCTCATACATGCAAGGCAAGCACTCTACCACTGAGCCATCTTCCCAGCTTCCCCTTCTTTTGATGGTCTTGAATTCAGGGCCGGGTGCTGTCCCTCAACATATTTGCTCAAGGCTAGCACTCTTTGAGCCACAGTTCCATTTCCTGATTTCTGGTGGTTAACTGGAGATACAGAGTCTCACAGACTTTCCTGCCTGGGCTGGTTCTGAACCATGAACTTCAGATCTCAGCCTACGTAGCTAGGATTACAAGGGGTAAGCCACCAGCACTCAGCCACACGTATACTTTTTTTTTTTTTTTTTGCCAGTCCTGGGGCTTGAACTCAGGGCCTGAGCACTGTCCCTGAGTTTCTTTTGCTCAAGGCTAACTAACACTTGAGCCACAGCGCCACTTCCAGCCTTTTCTGTTTATGTGGTACTAAGGAATCAAACCCAGGGCTTCATGCATGTGAGGCAAGCACTCTATACCACTAAGCCACATTCCCAGCCCACATATACATTTTTTTTTTTTGGTCAGTCGTGGGGCTTGAACTCTGGGTTTGGGTGCTGTCCCTGCGCTCTTCAGCTCAAGGCGAGCACTCTACCGCTTGAGCCAGAGCGCCACTTCCTTTTTTTTTTTTTTGTAGGTCATGGGACTGAACTCTGGGCCTGGGTGCTGTACTCAGCTCTTCAGCTCAAGGCTAGCACTCTATCACTTGAGCCACAGGGCCATTTCTGCCTTTTTTCTGCTTATGTTGTGCTGAGAAATCTAACCCAGGGCCTCGTGCATGCAAGGCAAGCACTCTACCACTGAGCCAAATGCCCAGGCCCACCCCCCCCCCACTTTGTAAAAAAGTGACAGCTGGGTGCTGGTATAGCTACTCAGGAGGCTGAAAGCTGAGGATCATGGTTCAAAGCCAGCCCAGACAGGAAAGTCTGTAAGATTCTATGTCCAATAAACAACCAGAAAACCAGAAGTGGCACTGTGGTGAAGTGGGAAAGTGCCAGGCTTGAGATGAAGAGCTGAGGGACAGTGCCCAGACCCAGAGTTCAAGTCCTACAAACTACAGAAAAGGAAAAAAAGTGACAACACAAACACAAATAATAGATGCCATTATTGATCGAATTTCAAGATTTAATTGACATAACTGTAACCGCTCTGTACAGTATTTTTACAATAAAAAAGTATAAAAAATTTAATTGATAATACACTTATTTGGTAAAAGGGAAAAACTTCCTTCAAATTCCTAAATCATGTCACAACCAAATCAATACCATGAAATGAGAATATGATTAACTTACCCAGGGGGTTGGCACCAATAAATACATTTGCAAAGTTCATCTTAGGCATCTGGGTCAAAGACTGAATATAGTTTCTTGCCTGTAAAAATAAAGGTTTTCAGAATGACTTTGTTCAACAGTATCTTGGTCCTGATTCAGAACATTCATCAAAGACTTTTTTTACTGTCTCCTAATTTCTCTATATATGACCATCATCTTTATTTATGTGCTTTCTCTCACAGCGACATTCCATGTTAATAAGACAACTAACCAATTCAGTTCTCTTTTGTTAGCTTTCTGACTGTACTAAGATCAGAAGTTTAAAAACAGAAGGTCAAGACTTCTAAGCAGCTCTTTTTCTGAAGCAGTTTTCCTAAACATTTAAATTTGACAGAGGAGTTGGTACAGAAGAGCAGTTGAGAGGCTTTCTGCATTGAAAAGAAAGTTATAGGAATTGGACATACACATGGCCATATTTCATTCTTGTTAACTATTTCATTCTTGTTAACTTGAAACTAATGTTTCAAGAACAGAGATAAAACCACTCTCATACAAAGAACAGTCAAACCTTTAATAAAGATATATGTAGACTGGGCAAATGCAGCAGAAATAGAAACAAAGTTAGGGGAAAGGACCCTCTGTGATCCTAGCCTCATTCCCCCAAATAGAAAGGGCATCTTACAAAGAAGGGCCCTAGTTACCATTGACTGTAAAACTAGTTAGATTAAGTAAGAATTGGTAAAGAGAGATTCTAGTTCTACCTAGAATCGTATTTATTCAATTTTATGTGTATTTTCTTTTAAATAGAACTTTTAGTCATAAAAATAAAAAGGTGAGCTAGGTGCCGGCTGGTAGCACACACCTGTAATCCTAGCTACTTAGAAAGTAGAAACCTGAGAATCAAGGTTCAAACCTAGCCTGGGCAGAAAAAGACTCATCTCTAGTTAACCAGCAAAAAGCTGGAAGTGGAGGTGTGGCTCAAGTAGTAGAATATCAGCCTTGAACACAAATACTGAGCAGAGAGGAGGAGGCCCAGAGTTCAAGCTCCAGTACCGGCACTTTAAAAAAAAAAAAAGGTGAACAGAAAAGCATGCTGATGATGTCAGTGAACTACACCTTGGATGAACCCATATGATAGTAATCACTTTAACTACAGGAAGAAACACACAGGACCTTGTACCCTAAATTTACAAGCCCACATACCAAAGGAATACCATTTTTACGAGCCTAACACTCATTCTTGATCCCACTGATTGGTGATGTTTGATGTCAAATGTGACATTTTGCGACAGCACACTCAGTCATGGCCTCAGGACTCCTTGGGGCACATGCAAGCAAGCATTCAGTGACACTGAAGCCTGTGTCAGTTACACAGTGGCAATACAGAGAATGCAGCCTTCTGAGAGAGGCACTCCTGTGCCTCACTGTTTTTCTCACCTCATGGCTTGGCATCCTGTTAATGAGGTAAGCAGGGGGCGTCCCCGTCAGACGCATAATCTGCTGAAGCTGGTTAATATCTTAGATCCCCGGTCAAGGGCATTGTTAAACACACAGTGCAAAAAAACAAAAACAAAAAACTTTCCAACTCAAAGTTTTAAGTTAAAAAAAATCCACCCTCAACACAAAACAAGACCCTGCTCCCACCCACCCCAGGCTAGTGCCCAAGGCTGCATGTTAAGGCATGCTTTGGTGAATGGCTCAGGTTGTTAGTTAGGCTCGTAGCCAGGGAGTAGCCATGCACATAGGAAAAGTTTGGTTTCTTTGCTTTTAGCATCATCTTCAATGTTCAATAGTCTAGGTCCTCTGGAATCTGATTGCTCCTTGATCCAGGATGCCAGCCAGAGAACTGTTTCAAGAACTAATGGTCAAAACCTGTGTGCCTGTGGGATTAAAAATAGATGACTGAGGAAAATGAAATATCCAATCAAGGAAGAGATTCAGTATTTGTGGCATTGGTTCTCCAAGGCATCAGCCCTCCCAATGAAGACATGAATGGGAGGGCAGATTGGTACGTGATGCCCCGTCTCAAAGACATTAGCTGTGGAACATTCAAAATACATGCCACAAACATACAGGGTAAGTGGAGGAGGGGAGGCAAGTTAGAGGATAACAGCAGAGGCAAAATAGAAGTCACAAGCCATCGACAGAATTATGACATGCTACAAAGATTATTTCCACAAGTCTCTCTAATGAGTAAATGTAACAGATTAATTTCACAGAACAGACAGCTGGGAGGAAGTGTGCAAAACAGATTATGATGGAGGCAGAACTGAGTTTTTATCACATTTAAGTTCTACTTAACTTAACACAATTCCCCAATTATAAGTCACTCACTCCCCAAAGTATAAAAACCAAGGGTTAACTTGTTTTCTAAATCCTCAACTTTATTCAACTTTCCTTCCTTGTTAAAATCAGTTCCTTACTTCAGTTGCAGTATCATCTTCAATAAAAGCCATGGCCATATCATTTTGCCTCTTCAAGGCTTCCCTGAATAATTTCTCTAATTAATACTTAAGCTCCACCTCTGATTGCAACTCCCTTGTGGCCAGATTACTGCTAAGGTGTGTCTACAGCTGGCCTCTGGGACAGAGCTAGGACCACATGCTCCATTCTGCTCACTTATCTCAAAGACAAAAGCCAGCACACTGTCATCACACAGTGTAGATGCACCTTTTAAAGAAACCATCTGGTAAAATGAGCCTGGAGAAATGACAAAGGCAGAAAAGAGGGTCACAAAGTAAACCAGCAATGGTAGGCTACTAGCTAGGCCTTCAATGTTGGAATCCTGCCAACCATCTTCCTTTTTGGGAGCAGTACGTGGCCTGGACATGTTCTGGTTCTGTCTTCTTTAATCAGTAGGTGATGACATCCTCCTCCTGTCAGCTTATAGTTCCAGAAAAAACTGTGAGTCAAGCTTTTGCTTTTGCAATACAATGTTTTGTTCTTTCCCTGGTTACTCAAGGTTCTAGGATACCAACCAAATAAATTCTCTATCCTTAAGCCACAAACATCCAATTTATCCCCTTTCTTATGCCACATCCTAACCTTTTCCCTATGCTGACTGCATTTTCTGGGTTTTTTTTTTGTTGTTGTTGTTTGTGCTAGTCCTGAGTTTGAACTCTGGGACCAAGTGCTGTCCTTTAGCTTTTTGTGCTCAAGGCTGGCTCTCTACCTCTTGAGCCACAGCTCCAATTCTAGTTTTTTTGCTGGTTAACTGGAGATAAGAGTCTCACAAACTGGCTTTGAACTGTGGTCTTCAGAACTCAGCCTCCGGGTAGCTAGGATTAAAGGTATGAGTTACCAGCACCCAGCTTGGCTGCATTTCCTTACTCAGAATGTCCCTGTTACAAATGCAGGCTGAGGTTACTAGTTGCTTTTCAGGAATAATAAAAACAATAAAAAAAACCTATCTTTATGTCTACCATGTTTCAAGCATTTAAAATCTTTGAGCAATTTTACTCACCTGGTTTTATTTCTCCATCCATATTCCACACATCATGAGATTTTTTTTTCCCCCAGTGTGCTGGGGATGGAACCCAGAGCCTTGTGAATACAAGCAATCTCTCATTCAGCCCTTGCTTTTTTGAGATAGATTCTTAATATGCAGCTCTGATTTGCCCCAAACTCTAGGTGTGCCTGCTTCTGCCTCCCAGAGTGTTAGGATTATAGGCATGTGCCACATCATGTACTTTAAAAATAAACAGGTACTTGGGCACTGTCATTCACAGTAAATTAATTTTGGCTGCACTTTTAAATAAACTGTTTTTATCCACTTGCCACAATTAAATGAGGAAATTCATTCTGTTCTTCTTCTTGTACTCAATACTGTATTGAGTATGTTCTTTATTTTGGCTAATTCCATAATGTCCAGTGCTGTATGGAAGCTGTTGAAATATATGATGTGTCCATTTCCCATAAGATAAAGACAGCTCCTTATTAGCTCACGTACCCAACACCATTTCTTCCTTAAACACAAATGATGGACTAATGACAGGTATGCACTAGGTTAGCCATCCTGTGTTTTGGAACCTCTCATCTCTAGGGCAGATGGCTGGGTCGAGGGAGGCCATTATTCCCAGTCTCATTAGCACCATTCATTAATTAACTGAGCTTCTTTCCAACCCTCCTTCTGGCCCTTGTCCTTTTGGCAAATCTAAGCCAAAATATTTATTTATTTATTTTTGGTATTGGGGATCGAACCCAGGATGTTGCACTTGTTAGACAAATGCTTTGCCTCTGAGCTATATCCCAGTCCTAAGCCAAAATATTTTTAAAACATAAAAACAACCCATTCTGGGCTGGGAATTTGGCTTAGTGGTAGAGTGCTTGCCTAGGATGCATGAAACCCCGGGTTCATTTCCTCAGTACCACATACAGAAAAAAGCTGGAAGTGGTGCTGTGGCTCAAGTTCTAGAACACTAGCCTTGAGCAAAAAGCAGCTTAGGGACAGTGCTCAGGCCCAAGTTCAAGCCCCAGGACTGGCAAAAACATAACAACAACAAAACCTCACGTCTTTCTTTAGCATTTTATCTTCTCTGATTCACACTAACCCAGCTTCTGTACTTCAGAAGGAAAAAAGAAAAGGAGTGTTCGGATGGAGACTGTGGTCAATACTTCTGACAATGACTCTCAAAATAGTGCATAGCCCCATGAGATGATTAGGACATCTGGAATCTAGCTCTATTTCACTCTGCCAAATGACTCAGCATGACTCCAGCAAGTCACAGCGTCCCTGTGCTTCTGCCTCCTTATCCTAAGCAAGTAAACAAAACAAACAAAATAGAGCCAGAACATCCCTTTGTTGAAGCTCTGCAGCTTGGAGACTGACATTACTGAGCTGTGTGGTCCTTCTGAGAGATGCACACCAAAGATGGTATTCTTTGTCAGGGAGGTGATGAACCACTAAACCCACCTGTTCATGCCTGCCTCGAGCTACACAGCTGGCTTCCCAATTGGGCAAAGGAGCCTTTCAGTTAGGAATCCAGGAAGACGCAGCTGGAGCTTGCACACTTTTTTCCTTTTTATCCAACTGCAGGGTGGGGCAGACGAAGGGAAACAGGAGAAAGGCTGGACTTCTGTAGCTCCTCTCAAGGCTCTGGCCCGAGCAAATGATCAACAGCAGGAAGTCATTGTCAAAGTAAGCCAGGGTCACCTGCCTGGGGCTCCTTTCCAAATCCCTGCTTACAGGAATTGGAGCAGAAAGGCACCAGTTCCACAGCCTTTCCTTAGGTTACTCAGCTTGGAGTTCATAAGGAGGACTTAACACCACTCTCCTGCAGAAATACCAGGAGCAGAGGTATTTCCTGAGTGGTCTGAGGACTAGCAAGAGAGGAAACCCTAGTGTGAACAAATACTTTGTTGGATGTGTGTCCGTTCTACAACAGCAAAAAGTGAGTGACCTTGGGAGAGAAACAGGAGCATGGAAATGATGCACATTTCATTCTTTTAGGGATGAGGTTAGATTAATTGATGGGGAAGCCCATGTGCTAAGATCCAGCACAGCCAGAAAGCAAAAAAAAAAAGCTCATTGTCCATGAAACTTCTGGGAGAATGTAGTGAGGACATGAGGAATAAAGGCACAATTTTCCAATTCATATTTTCTGGGCTACAACTGCCCAACAGAGGTTCCTGAGATCCAAGTACATACCCAGAAAAAAGGAACAAAACACACTCTTGCATGCAAGCAAGCACGCATGCGCGCGCGCACACACACACATATACCTCATCTCAGACATCAGCATACAAAGGGCACTTGTGCTTACAAACATACCAGGGTCAAAGTACAGAACGATGGAAGGCAAGTGGCAGAGACTCCCCACAGGGCAGGTAATTACAATCAAAGCATCAACTCACAGACTCTGAGGAGATTTTCTTCAAAAGCTCAGCCCCTGGGGTTCCAACGAGTCTTAAAATGAGCTTCAACTGATCAATATCTAATGGTAGACTATAAAGGAAAATGTTGGGACAAATAAAAATGAAAGAAACAAACAAATGAATAAATAAAAACAAACAACAAAACCATAACAAATATAACAAAATAAACAAAACATCCCAACAAGCCCAAACCAAGCCAATAAGGTGGACTCATCTAGTCAAGCCTTCTGCGGAACAGTCATTTAAGGAGGACATGCACCCCTGTACAAAAGTCTAAACGTTGCCCCAAATGTACCAACTTGGATTCATTTTGTGCATCTGTCAACATCACCAATCAGTAAAATGAAGCGACTTTGGCTGGAGCTTAGCTGCCAAAGATGGCAGATGAAAATGCAAAGTCTCCACTTAGTCCAGAGGCTCAGCCTGTACATACCTCCTCACCTTCCACCAAAGTACTAGGACCTGGCACATACTGAGTGCTGGCAAGCAGAGGGATACAGAAAGGAAAAGAAAAAAAAAAGAAAGAGCACAGCAGCTAGGGACATGCAGTCTATTTGTGACTATTCACCTAAGGCCTGACCTGAAGAGCTTGAAACATGCCAGTCCAGAGGCCTGTGGTGATCCCAAAGCCTGCCCCCTCCAC